TACAGGGAAAACTTGGACTGAGAAGTGAGGATAATGGGCTCCATCTGCCTGTCAGTTCATCACCTCCCTGAGTCATAGAGGTCTCTGGTTTTCATACATCACCACCACTGTCTCTGATAATGTACCCATGTTTGGGAGGAATATGTCTTTCTAAAGGGGTTCTTGGACTTTATGGACTTCACCCAGAGAGAAATTTTCATCAAATGAGTGAATTACATATTTTTTTTAATGAGAACCAGGCCAATAGAGTTACAAAACGGTGATACACACGAGTCTTATGCAATGCAAGTTTGATGCATATTTTGCAGTGCGTTTCTAGATTCTTTCATCTATATGCAATGTGATAAAGTGGTTGCTTCAGTGCCAGCCCTGAAAACTAGTCTTCTAACATTTTTCAGCAATTAAAAAATAACTCCCAGATAACATCTCCTTAAAAGGAAAGGAATGCAGTTTACCCCATAAGTATGCAACCTTTCCAGTGAAATTAATCTGAGATTGCAAATGGCTCCACAGACTGATGGGTGAATAAGCTTGTTTTTGTGTCTGGGATTGTAAATCATTCAGGGGCAGCATGCTTTAAATGATGGTGTTGCCTTAACTTTATATTCGGATACTATGCATGTGGTTAGTAGTCTGTCCCAGCCAGGAGACTGCCCTATTGTAAACATGCATTCCTTACTGGGTCACACAGTGCTCAAGATACTGTTGAAAACCCCACTCACGCCTATCTGTATTGCATTCATTTAAAGTGCTACTTTGCATTTCTGAGCCTGCAATCCTGTTGCATTTGAGCTATTTTTATTTTTTTAATGAAAGCAGCCAGGGCACTGTTAAGGGAACTTAAACACCATTATAGGATTATAAATCCCTTTTCTTCCAAGCAGAAGTTAACCACAGATTTCTTGAGCTAAAGAGAGATTTCCACTCTTGCTAATCAATCTAATTCAATCCATAACTTGTCACAAGAGATGGATTTAATTTGTTTTGAGGCATCTGGTTTAGGCAATCATTTTTGGATTGTGATATTTATATGTAACAACTCTTGCCCATATAACATGTGTGCAGGTACCACCAGATTCAATAAACACATGCATAGGTGTGGTGTCATATGGGAGTCCTAATTTGAAATAGAAGTGAAGTGTGCTCAAGTTAACACCCGTGAAGGAAAATGAAGGGCAAGCAGTTCAAAATGTATTCTTTTCTGATAAGGGAGGAATTGAGAACTGGTGCCATAAGGAGATGGCAGGTATATTTGGCCTACACAACACTACTGCACTCTAGTCAAAGGGAGAATTGCAGGGAGACTCTCTGCATTAGACAATAGGTCAGGAGTCCAGCAGATAAGTTGATATTCTCTGGCCTCTTTTACAGCTTCCAAGATGGGTTTTCTTGCTGGTCTGGACAAACTGCTATTGAGTCTGACACTGTTAGGAATGCATTCTGCTCCAGTCCTTTGCCCTTTGCAGGCCATGTGGGGTACCAGTTCATCAAATGTGATATCCATCACATTTATATTTTCAAGTGAAGAGACTTCTCATGTTGATTTTTCTAGTTCTGTGTACCTTAAGGCATTTTTTATTTGACACTTTATGTTATGATAAAAATAAACAAATTGATTCATGCTTTGTATGGTTAAAAGTCCAGGTTTAACAGAGTGCATTTTAAAAAAACAACAACTATCCAGTTGTGTAGGAATACTAAAATATTTCCCTGGGGAGAGCTTTTGCTCAAAGTGCATTGGGATCCTTTCACTGAAGTTGTTCACTTGCACTATTTTGGACTCCACAACCACATTTTTATTGTGTTCATCTGTTGTGCTATCCCGTTGCGATTCTTTAGGACTCAGTATTGTTCCCATATTACGGATGTAGGATGAGTACGTGAGGCTGAGATATGGTGGCTTTCCAAAGACTGCGTAGTAATTTCATTTCTGAGGTGAGATTTGAACCAATGACTTCCTGAATTCCAGCTCAAGCTCTAGGCCTATGTTATACTAGCTTTCTTGCAGTTTTTAGTTAGAATTTATTGCTGAGCATAAAGAGGACTAATAAAGAATTGAGAATATTGTTGAACAGTTGTCTGAAGTGGATTCTTAGTAGGTCTGTTCATAGGAGCCAATTCCTAGGGACCAAGGTCCCTTCGGGGGCCCCTCCCCCATAAAATAAATTTTGAGGAGGCTGGGCCTCCCCAAATTTGATGGGAATTGCCATTCAAATGGTATGGTGTGCCACATCATCTGATCGGTTATGCAGGGCGGGGCTCCCCCCCCCCCCGGTATTTTATTCAAGTTGGCATCCCTGAGTCTGTTCATATAATAGTCAAAGTGTAGCACAAGAAAAGCTGCATTGGAATAGTTTGCAATTAAGTGATTTGTGCACAGATTACCATTTTGAAGCGATTAATCATCCAAGTAATTTTTCTGAAGAACAGGAATACGCAGAAATTTAGAATCGCACTGACAGACTGATACAGAAAATACATCAGCCCCATGTACAATTTCTGCTTAAGCACTCAGGCAATGCTTTTAAAAAGCCATTTCGCAAATTCAAAACATTATGTTAGAAATGAGCCTAAGATGAAGCAATGTTAAGTAGTGAAGGTATACATTAAAAAAGAGGGAAGCAAAAACTGTTGGTGTATTTCACAGGTTAAGATGAATTGTTCTTGTCTGTAGTCTTCGGACTGCTCACTTGCACATTAATCCCATTGACTTCAGGGGAGAGCCTTGACATTAAACAGTGTATTTTGCCCTAATCCATTGAACAGCATGTGCAGCTAAGGCTCTTCATAAACCATGGAAGGCAAGACAGTAAGCACAAGCTATTCTGCAGTTTGTAACAAAAGGACCAATTGCACGTGACAGTACTCAGTTACTGGGTCTTGGGTCACATGACACAAGCTGCAGCGCAGTCTTTCAAAATAGGAGATTGAACCCTAACCTTATTCACTGTCTTGTTCAAAGGCGAGATTGCATCCTTTCATTACTGAAAACTCATTTCTCAAGCTGCACTCTCATTTGTCAGCAAGTCTCTTCTTGGAAAAACATGTTGGCTATACACAGCAAGAGAAAATAAAGAATGCTTAGCTGGGAGAAAGTAGGAAACATTCTCTTGTTGCTTGTTGAATTAAAAAATGTCACAGGAAACATTTATGGTGATAAAATATGATGATGTAAATAGAATAAAAAATTGTGATGTAAATATGAAGTGCAAATTAAAACAATCTTTAGGTAATTAAAAACAATGCTAGCCCTAAAATAACAGCTCTGACTTGGCAAACAAGCTTAAGTTTATTGGGATGTGTTTGAATGCATTTGCACAAATTCAGCATTTAATATAGGCAAGTAAAGAATATATGAAACCCAAATCTGCAATTCCCAGGAGGAGAAAGTTCAAATTGAGAACTCCCAAAGGAGCGCCATGACAGCAAATGACCAATTGATCTTGTCTGGTTGTACCCTTATTTGAGGTGGTAGATTTCAGTTAGGGTCTCATATGTACAGCATATGATTTACTGCAAAGCTATAGTCTCCTTTGAGAATTAGAGCGAGTTTATTTAATAATATTTCCCTGTAATTCCTCCTGAGGTTGCTTTGCTTTATAATTTAGCCCCTGGGTGCTGAAACTAAGATAGAAATTACACCTTTGGAAATTGAATAGTGCATTGATGTGGTTGTATCTGGTTTTGATCTCATGAGGGCAAATTACAAATAGTGGAGACCATGCAAGAATTGTAGGGAAATATATTATGGTAATCTATGTGCCTGCAAGTGTGTTTCCACCATCAGTGGGGGTGGAATTATTCCTTGTTTGGGCAGGAAGATTCTGCAGTTTAGCAGGCAGTAACTCAGTGCAACTGAACTCCATGCCAATTTACTTCATAGCAAACATATAGCACAGCCACCTAATTGGAATTGAGTTCCAGTGAAGTAACCTTCAAGTTAATGTGCTTAGGCACTTGATGTTCAAAAACCTAACTTTAACTATTGAGTGCAGAAGGTGTGACATCACGTTCTGTATTCAGATGGTCTGAGGACAAATGCTATTTTCACATTCAGCATGAAAATAAGTGCATATATCACTCCTTAATTTGGGACCTAAAATAGCTCTCATTATCACCTTCAATAGATTTTTCTGCTAAACACTTCTGGGGTGGGGCTTGTTGGCTTGTGCTTGAAGATTTAATTTCCTTTTTCTGTATAAAATGTGGACATATTGTCACAATGTAAAACAACAACACCTCCTGATATGTTACAGGCGTCCTGGACCCACTACAACCTATTGTGTTAAATGCTTTATTTAGACGAGTAAAACAAAAATCTGGGACATTAATAGAAAATGTTCTGTAAAAATGGGTGCAGTCTTTTAAACATTGCTGCTATTTATAGTGATTATTTACCCCCAAATGTTCAGAACAAATTTCTTAGCAGACTTCAATTTTCAGTTATTCCAGGATTTCCAGTTTACCAAAGGAATGATAGAAGGGGAGACTGTCTTTCACTCCAATAACAGAAGGTTTATTACATTGCATATACTTTGTTCTCTCTATCAACATTCCCCAACTAATCATGTAGAAGACCACATAAGACCTGATCACTCTGAAAAGCACTCCAGAAAGTACCCCCAATTCCATTCCATTCAGATGGGTGAAAGTTTCCCATTCATTCAAGGCATTGGGGCTAGTTTCCAGCAGCCAGAGGTCCAAATTATGTGGGTTTTCAAACGTTAATAAAAATAAATAAATGCAGACCTCATGGATGGGGCTGCGGACAGTGTTGCACAAGTAGAAGTTGGAAGGACCTGGCGCGTTGGTACAGAGCCAGAACAGAAACTGGAAGCTATGGGGAGCAGCCAAATATTTGCATCATATAGCAACAGGGGGAAGGTAAAATTCAACTGTTTAAGGCTTACAAAATATTTTTGAAACCTTTACAAAGCCAGAGGGTGCTGGAAAGCATTGTAATGTGTTGTTCATTGTTTGTGTTTGATGTGCATTTACAGTGTCCATTTATGGAATTTGGTTTTATGATAAGGAAGAATGCCAAAGAATTGCAGAGCTCATGAAAAAGTAAGTGCTGGTGGTCAAAGAAGCCCTTTGAGGATTTTATTTGTGTTCTTTTGCATGTTATAGCATTGTTCATTATATTGAAACTGTTTAAGATTAACCCCCTTTATATTAACAGCATAAATGGGCTCATTAAAGCAGAAAGGTCAACTGATGCTGCGGTACTGTGCACACTTAAATAGCAGTAAGTCTTATTGAAATCAATGGGACTTACTTCTGAATAAAACTACATAGGATTGCACTGTGAAGCATATTTTAATTTGGACTAACGCATTTTGGAATTGTTCAGGGAAAGTTTCCTTCATTGGGAGGAAAGCTCTTATTTGATAAAGACTGAGGAGGAAATAAATCACAGGCAAATGTCTGTAAATTGTAATTTATTTTTATACTTTGCAATTTATTTTGTATAGTCTATTCCTATTGATCTCACTTGCCCTGGTATATGGAGAAGTATGCAACTTTATTTCCTACTTCTTTGAAATAGGACTGTTTGTAAGATTAACCTGCTGAAACAGGTTAGTGCCTTCAGTAAAACTTGGATTATACAATTAAGCCAGGGACCATATACATTCAATAAATGTTATAAATGTGCTTACCATAGTATATAGAGATCAGTTCATAGTATTTTAAATATATTTGTTTTATAATATCCAAGCACTGACAGATAGCATCTCTTTCTAAGTGCCTGAATGATGAAATTCCACCACAGGGTGGATTAGCTAGGTACCGGTTTGAGGGATCCTATCTGGATTGCTGAGGTCAGAGGTCCTCCACGCCATAATCTGAGGTGGCAGTGGCTCTTTAGGGTGTCAGACAGGGTCTCTCCCAGTCCTGCCTAGAGATACCAGGAGTCAAACCTGGGGTGTTCTACATACAAAGCAAATACTGTACCACTGAGGTAAGGCCCTTCCCTCTCTTTTGGTAATCCTGTAGCCATCTGTGTGGTAATGGTAGCTAGGCCACTTGCAGAGGCATTCCAGTTATTCTGGTTCCCATGTTACTTTTACACTCGCTTTGTATCTAATGCCATGCTCTTGCAATTGGTTGTACATATGATGTTTGGGCTGTAACTTTCTAAAGATACCAGGGTGGAGTCCAGTGTAGAATCTGGTGCAGGTATGCTCAATTTATCATCTAAATTCTAACTCTAACCAGATGCCTGCAGCTTAGAGGATTTATCAGGGGAGTTAAATTTGCCTGGGCATAACAATGGACCAGCCAACCTTTGTTTTTGCCCAGTTACATTACAGTGTAATTACTGTGAAACGATCTACAGATTTATTTCTCCTGCTAGGCATTGATCAGGAAATTCTACAAGACCTGGAAATGGATGTTCAAAAGAGTCCATCTGCTGTAGAGAAAGAGAGAAGATGTTTCACTCTAGGAAAGTCAGAGCTCCTCTTCCCCAGTATTATTATTTAGATTTTTACCCCACACTTTCCTCCAGAGGAGCCAGAGGGCAGCAAAACATATCAATACTAATACAATTAAACTTCTAAAAATATTTAAATACTTCTAAAAACAATCACCTACTGTTTTATCCTATCCTGACTCACATTCACACTGAAGTGCAATAGAAAACCATAAGCTACACATTACTTCTTATTAGACATTACAGAAGTATGCACAGATCACAAATTTAGTTAACATTTCCCTAACACAATTTAATTGCAGCTATAGTCTTTTTGAAAAAAGAAATAGGCATGTAGCCCTCTTGTGTAGCAATTGAAAGGAGCAGAGTAATTAAATTAAAAATCTCTAATATCTCCCCTTAGTTGTATTCCCCACCCCACCGCATTGGAAGTGTGCAAATGCTTCCCTCATGGGGAAATTTCTGAACTTTTTCTAGTGCTGTGATAGAATTTTTGAGATATACTGCACCTAATGTTCCAAATGTAGTCACACAGTAGATCTATATAAAAGTCATTGTAATATTGGTAGTTTTATTTTCCATTCCCAATATTGACTTGTCTTTTTCACTTCCACTGCACAGAAAGTTGACATTTTCAGTGAACTGCCTACCACAAGCTCAAGTTCTGTTTCTTGGGTTAGTTGCAGTCAATTCAGATCCTACATCCATATGTACAGAGTAGTTGTGTTTTGCCCCAGTGTGCATCACTTAGCTCTTACATACATTAAATGTTGTGTGAAGCTTTCTTATCATTCACTCGGTTTGGAGCTAGATTCTTCTGGAACTCTTCAATTTGCTTTTGCATTTCACAGCCCAAATAACAAACTTGGCTATCTCACTGCTTACCCCTGACTTAAGAATGTTTATGAATAAAAGGTAGCATTCCCAGTATAGACCCTTTGGGTAATTTATTGATAATTTTTCTCCTTATTCTAAACTGTTTAAAAGGTCTGCTTCCTTTTCTTAAGCAGTTATTGATCCATAAGAGGTTGATATGGCAACAGTCATCTAAAACAAATATTAGCATAGCTAACATAGTGTGTAGCCTGTGTAGGGAGTGGAAGCATATTGAGCCATGACCAATACATGATCCAGAGGAATAGGTCTGTTTGATCTGCTATAGCAAAAAGAAAGAAAGAAAGAAAGAAAGAAAGAAAGAAAGAAAGAAAAAACCCTGTGTCACCTTAAAGGCTAATAAGACTATAAAACAGGTTTTGTTGTTCCGTGCTTTTGGTGGCGTTTGGGGCCCCATTATTTACAGATCTTCCCCCCTCCTTTCTGCTAACATAGAATACCCATCAAATATCCAATCAAAAGTAGAGTCCAAAGACTCTTGAGGATAAGAGTTGTGGGCTCCTGGATCACTGACCTCTATGAAGGCGGATTTTACATAAATCTCTTGCTGCAATGTTGAAAGAAGCAACACAGTAAGCTCTCTGTCATCAGTGACTCGGATATCTGTTGTCACATGTTGTATTCAGCCCACAGTGAAATATCCGCAATCTTGATCGTTTGGTGCCTGTCCTTAACTGCTTCCATGCCTGATCAGAAAACCTCTGTGAGCCTCAGCCTAGAACGGGAGACTGACAAAGTTGACTTGTAGCCCATGAAAGCATCTGAGGAAAGAGAGTGGAGTGCCTTATATTGACAATCCCTGTGCGGCAGTGGTGCCTTTGTCATGGTGAACAACACCACAATGGTTAATATCAGGAGCAAGAAAGAATTTATACAAGATTTCAGGAGAAGCAAGCTGTCATCTCAAACAACTGTACGTTATTGAAAGATAACTGTGGCTAATCAGCTCTCCCTGCAGTTTTTGGTGATTAAATGTCTCTCAGACTGCTAATTTTCTTCAGTAAAAGACTAGTTTGTGAGGATTTGTATGATTGTAAACCATGTTTAGTGGGTTATAATAGCAGCATTTCATCTAGTTAAAACTGCACTGCAGTTCAGCCAAGTGACTGTGTGTTAGAATTATCAGCAGTTTGCAGTAATTATAAAACAGCTGGGGCAGGAAATTGGTCATTTACTAGCAGTTAAAGACTTGTTTGTGTATATTCGCCACCCTACCATCACCAGCAATCATAAAATGAGCTGTGGTTTAATGTACTTCCCGGCCAGACGATCTGTGACTGTGTTAGGGATATTTAAGTCTTTTATGGCCCAGTGTGCACAAAATTTGAGAAATTACGTTATCAACCCAGGCAAACCTTATGAGATAGCCCTTCTCCTCCAAAACAACAACCTTGGAACCATTTTTAATGTCTGCTAAATGATTTGAAGCAGTTGGAATTGAACTCCATTTTCTCCCTCATTTTTAACTTCACCCTTCATTTCCAGTTTAACTCAGCAAGAACAACTGAAAGCACAGCAGGGGGCTGGCACTGGAATTTCCCCAGTAAGCCTGAATTTGGGTGACAGCAAAGAAGTGGATATCCTACGGATGCTTAACAAAGCCAAAGATGAATATACCAAGGTGAGGCCTATCCTTTATAAAACAATACCTGCAAGTATTCTTGGATGAGACTAGATTTATCTAGATGCACTACTGTCTGGGTTCAGACTCGGTTTTGGAACTGAATCAGCGTTGGTTGCTCTGATGGATGACCTTCATTGTGAAAGAGATGGGGAGCACTACTGTGTTACTTCTGCTCAATCTCTTGGTGGCTTTTGACACTGTCGCCCACAGTATCCTGCTGGACTGACTCAGAGGGATTAGTATTGGAGGCACCATATTATGATGGTTCTGTCCTTACCTTCATGGCTGTGTTCTGAGAGTAGCACTGGATGAATACTCCCTGGGCCCCTGGGCTCTGTGCTGTGGGGTCCTGCAGGGCCCAGTGCTATTAGCATTTATACAAAGCCACTGGGGGCAGTCAGTAGGGGTTTGTGGGCAAGATGTCATCGGTACATGGATCGGGTGTCTGAGTGCAGTGGTGGGCTGATGAGGGCCAATGAACTATGTTTGAATCTTGAGAAGGCAGAGTCTCTTTGGTTGGGTAGCTCCCATGTTCAGAAGATAGGCAAGTACTTGTTCCAGATAGGGTCACATTCCCTCCGAAGGAACAAAGAAAAACCAATTTTCATGATTGGTACTTAATTGTTTTTTCCCCTTTTATTGTACAGTAGAAAAGATTGTGTAGAAGACTACACTCATACTGAAGTGGTTTCATTTTCTCTCTCTTTGTTAGAAAACATTTGTTTGAAGGATGAGTCAGTCAGTCCATGTCTGCTTCTTATTCCACCCCATCCCTCTATTTCTTGATCATAATTGGTTGCTAAGAAAATAATCTATCATAGAGAATTTTATGTTCGGAAGCCCTTTGAGATACAGGAATAGCTGTCCTCTCAAAGCTGGAGATCATGTACATTAAGCTAAGCAAAGGTGACACATTTTACAGTTTTATTTGCATCAAAAGCCACTGCACATCAGGACCACCATGCTTCTCAAAATAGCTATTTTACATTTTATCATTTTGTGACTGAATTCCATGTGATGGAATCAGCTTTTGTATCCTGCATAGACCCTCTTTGCACTGCAGTTTGGGATAATCACTAAGCAAAGAAACATGAAGTCCATTACTGGTTTTCTCAATTGCTGTTGTACTGATTATTGCTGCTGCTGCTTGTTTCAGTTGTGATAACTGCTTTTATTTTTTTTTAACTTTTGTATTATTATTTAGCTTGTGCTTTTTATCACTTCACATTCTCTAGTGATGTTTAGTAGAACAGCAAATGAAAGTATAAATTATTTATAATTTAAATAAATACTATCCACCAGTCTAACCTGAAGCTAGATACGCTCCCTTCCTTGCTGGTGTCAATGTCTTCCATACGAAATCCTGTAAAGCTGCTGTTAGTCAATGCACACAATTGTGAGCTAGATGGACCAATGGTCTAAAGCAGCTTCCAGAGAAAAGATAGTTATTCGTCCTAATAATGGTGCAGGCTCAGCAGCAGGCAATTAGTCCAGAAGTCATGATTCCAAGGTACATGTGGAAGGCACGAGATGCAAAAGTGAACAGAAGCAACAGAGATGTCCTACGGTTGTCACACCACTCGTGCCTAGCTTTTAAATACGAGCGGGGTGAGATCACTCTCAATACACTCTCACCTCCTGATACTGCATTCAGATATGTGCTTAGCCTGGGCGGGTGTGTCTGATCCCACCTACCGAGGTGGTGCCTTCTTCTCTGTGACAAGACTGTGTCTTGCCCTTCTGACTCCATCTTCCCCACTGAGTCCTCCTGCTCAGACTCTCCCCCTGGCTGGTCAGGGTCCTTCTCACTCCCCAATGGGACTCTGCAGCAGGAGCAATGAAGAGAGCCAGCACATCTCTCCCCCGCCCCAGTGCTACATCTGGAGTCACAAGGAGAGGACCTCCATCTTCCATTCCTGGGCACCAACCTACAAGCCCCCCCTTCTTTCTCCTGATCCTCTACCGCCTGGGGTTGCCCAGCCATACCAGATCCTGATGGAACTGAGAAGTTTGCCAGTGCCAGCTTTAATTTCTTTTGTGGGCCAAGTGGTTGTTTTTAATTTGCCCAGTCTTCTGTAGCTGGATTTTAACTATGTTTTATTCTGTTGAATTTTACTGGTGGGTATGATTCTGGGTCCCCCCCCCTTTTGCTATTCTACTATTTTATTATGTTACATTTCTTTTATTATGATTTTGAATATGTTTGATGTCTCAAGAGCCTTGTCAGGGACAAAAATCCACTGTTCTATCAAATGTCATGTGCTATCTGGATAACCTGAAGCCACTGCTGTTTTTGTTTTGTTTTTCTAATGTTTTTTACCCTTTTAAATCTAAGTCTAGCCTTTAGTCTGCATGAAATATAGGTTAAGAGCAGAGTGAAGAGATGATTAGAATGGAAGATGATCTGTATAAAATCCCTCGTATGGATATTTCCTGCATTTATATTGCATGTGGCTCATGTTCCAAGAAAATCCAATTGTCTTTCCTCAGTTACCCTTGATCCTCATGGACATTTGTCAATTTGTCAGTTCTGTTTTCTCTTCTCAAGTTTAACTGTACTGTATTCTTTTTTTCACGGTGATGGAGAGATTGAAAATAAAAATTGCTTTCTATAAAGAGAATTAATGTAGCATTATTTTTGTTTGTGTGTTGCAGTGTAAAATGTGCTCAGAGCCAAAACAGATAACCAGTTCTTCTGCTATATATGACAACCCCAACTTGATCAAACCAATCCCAGTGAAGCCTAGCGAAACTCAGCACCAGTGTATTCCTCAACAAGTCCAGGTATGCTATTGTATTTACTTTCTTAACCATAAGCTTCTTAGTTTAGAAGGCTTATGAGTCTGTGTTAGGAGCCTTTCTGTGCAATAAAAAAAGATTACCTTGCTGGGTGAAGCTCTGCCATCGCATCAAGTTTTGCTCTCAACCCAGCTATGATCCACAATTTCATTACCCTGGTGTGGTGGTGTGTATCTTTACCACAGGTAGTCACACTGCTTTTTGCAACTCATTTTTAAATAAGTCTGGATGAGGGCTCAAGCATATTTGGCTGTATGCATCAGTAAAGCACACAGCTTTCAGAAAACAATTACTACAAAACAAACAACGTTTTTAAAGCAAAGGTTGTATTATTGGAATGGCTGAACAGAGAGGCATGGGCTAGGCCAAATATCACCTCACCCCCTTCACAGGACTATTCATCCCCTAAAGAAAGAGGGAACATCAACAACTTTTGGGGACAGGTGAAATCAATTAATTTTGGGGTGAGGAATGGGCTTACTGTTAAAGTGGGTGTTTTTTTATAAATACAAACAAAACTTTACCACCACTTCAGTCAGTAGCTCAGCAGTCTGGTAGTATTCCATTTGAAATTTAGGACAGAAAGCCCATTGAGAACGAGGCTATGTAACATAATGCATATAATTCAGGGCACTGGTGATTATGTTATATAACAATTTGTATTATAGTTTGTTTATTTGTTTGTTTGTTTGTTTGGATGTTGTTGTTCTTTCAGTGCCCCTGAAAAACATTCTCATCTTATAAGACAACAAAATGCCCAATCCAGTTTAGTGAAGAACTGATATGCATCAAGCATTTCACTGGTTTATAAGGGCATTTTACCATTTAATAAAATTATATTTTCTCTCCCCCCACCTTTGTGTTTGATGCTGCCCTCTTTTCCCCCCTTTAGTATTTTGAGAGGGGCACCATTTCTGTTGCTGCTCTTAAAACTCGTTCAGTAGTGACTTCTATGATTTACAGACTTTGAATCCAAAGCATTAATAAGAGCACCTGTAGGCTTCTAGTGAGAGCTTTTTCCCTGTGTTGGCGTTAGGAGTTATGCCTGCCTTTCATAGTACCCCTTTGATTCTTAAAACCTTTCAATTCTTCTTACAATGGATGCAATTTTAATGGAATTTTGTAATGCAATTCTGTTTACATTGGAATGAAATTTTATAGCCCATTGCAAAGTGTACGATATTCATGAACACTGGGCTGGGAGGACTAAGATACAGTTCATAATCACACATTGTGTTCAAAGCTGACAGATCTGTGCTGTCCAATTTTATGCCCTTAATCAGGAAACAACACACAGCACTGTTTGTGTGCAATATTTCAGAGATAGGTAGAAGGAAGACTGTGCTCTATCAGCAGGCCACCTCTTGCCTCTTGATTTGTAGGATTCTTTTAACAAATATTGGAGAAGTTTGATCTTGGTCTGATCCCTACCAAAGCACCTTACAAGGGTGTGTGCTCTTGATTACTGAGCCAGATCAGTTAACTGTTAAAAAATCCAGAGTATGAACTCTTTTGTTTAAATTTAATTTCTTACATTTATGTCCCATCTTTCTTCTGCCATGGAACTCCATGCATTGTGCATATGGCTGCCAGGAGTCACCCATCCAAGCACTGAGCAGACCCAGACCTGCTTAGCTTCAGTAAGGTGGTGACCTCATATATCTTCAGGCTGTACTCTAGGTATATTGCTTTGTAAAGCTAAGATGCGAAAATGATTCTAGCCATAGAAATAAAAAGTAAATTAAACAAAACTAAATTCAACCCATTTCCTCCACCCACTTAAAAATGCAAGAAAACTGTTGAAATGAAGCTTCATATACCAGCTGTGAGTTGTTAATAATAATTTAGTACATACAGTCAGCAAACAGGTAGATAAGCTCTGCTATACAGTGGTACCTCGGTTTTTGAACGTAATCTGTTCTGGAAGACTGTTTGAGTTCCGAAACTTTCCGAAAACCGAGGCGCAAAGGGCGGTCTGCAAATTTAATAGAGAAAAATAACATATACACTCAGCAGAAGCCGTTTGACTTCCAAGGCGTGTTCGAAAATGGAAGCATTTACTTCTGGGTTTACGGTGTTTGAAACCCAAACGTTCATCAATGGAGACGTTTGGAAACCAAGGTGCCACTGTATTGTGACCATTTGTGCAGTTCTGTGTAATCTTACACCCTTTGCTACACTCAGATAAAGAATCATATAGTAAATCATATAGTAAAAATAAATGGTAGTTTGCGAGACAGTTCACTGGAGGTGAAGAGGTTCTGCTGCTGAGTGATGATGAAGGGAGGGAGGGAGAGACCCAACACTTACTGGAGCAAGCTCTGAGGCAGTGTCAGGGAAGTGTGTGTGATGAAGAAGCAGCATATAGGAGGAGTTGTCCCCTGTCCACCACTTCTCTCCTTATAACCTGTCCTCACCAACCATCATCCCACCAACTGGTTCCAAACTCATGCTTCTGCCACAAACAGAACGTCTGTGATCTTACCAATTGTTTGTAGAAAAGCCATTTGTTCAGCTTTCGGAGAACGTACAGTGGCATCTGCTGTTCTCTCTCTCCCTTTGATGCTGCTAGCCAAACCTTTATTTTGCCTTTATTTTTCTGAATTAAACTGGCTTTCTTTTCTCCTCCCCGCTCCCCCACCAGAATACAGACCCTGAACCACAACACTTATCTCTCACAACGCTCTTTGGAAAGCAGGAAAAGTCTAACGTATACCAAGATACCTCAGAGCAGTCACAAAAACTTCACCAAGAAAACTTTCCTCTGAGGCAAGGGGTTGTGCGCTCTCTGTCCTATGAGGAACCTGGAAGACACTCGCCCACAGCAGAGAAGCAGCTTTGCCCGGCCATTCAGAAACTGATGGTGCGTGGAGCAGAGCTTCACCCAGTCTCCGAACTCCCTGAGAACCGGATGTGTGAGAACGGCAGCGTCCCTTCGGTAGGGGAGGTTTTCACGGGACTCTTCCAGCCTGTGGCTTCTCATGGCATTCGGACATCTCATCCAGTCCAAGATGCCGTCAGCACACGCAGCCTGCTGCAACAGCTCCAAAGCCAGTCAGGACAAATGACAAAAATGGAGCCCAGCAATGCAGGACCAACGAGTTCTGCTGCATCAGTCTTCACCAGGGCTCCTGCTGTCTCCTCAGGAGCCCAGGTAAAGAATGTGACACAGCCTCATCTCATGTATTTCAATGGCTCTCTCCCAGGTCAGACTTTGGGGCCTCCAGCCCTTGGTAAAGAACAACCCAAACTTCCCGGACAGTCCCTTCCTCTCTCTGGGAACCAATCTGGAAACTCTGGAGTAATTTCACCACAAGAGTTATTAAAGAAACTTCAGATAGTGCAACAGGAGCAACAGTTGCATGTATCCAGTCGGCCAACCTTGGCAGCCAAGTTTCCCGTGGTTACTCAGAGCAGCACCACCCTAAAACCTCTGGATTCCTGGATGGACAAAGCTTCAAACACAGAAAAGCAGCCTCCTCTTTTTCAGGTAAACCAGCAATAGATTTGATAGATCCTAGAGTCCGAGAACCTTGGATCAACAGGCTGCTTGTTCTTCTACTTTCAACATTCAAAAACCAAAAGTACACCTCTCAGTTCCAGCATTGGGGAACTGTAGGCTAGTTCATGGTCCATAGTAGTGGTGTCCAAACACTGCTCCTTAGTTCATTTTAACAACCCTTTGGGCTTAGCTTGAGTTTTTGCAAGCATGTAGATTTGAAAAATCCCAAGTGGGTTTTTTTTGCGCAGCTTCCATTCACCAGCAAATGTCCCAACAAATCAAAAACCTTTTACCTTTGTGGGTGAACCTCATATCAAGTCATCCTCATCCCCAGATTCAAAAGTTCTTGAAGTGGGGCATGCCTTTTCAAGGGGGGCAAGTGGACATTTTGTACCTGAATGTCCTCTGCATTGTTAGACCATAGCCAGTACAGCCGTACCTTGGTTTTTGAACAGCTTAGTTCTCGAATGTTTTGGCTCCCAAACACCGCAAAGTGACTGTTCCAGTTTGCAAACTGTTTTTGGATGCCGAACGTCCAAGAAGGCTTCCGTGGCTTGATTGGCTGCAGGAGCTTTCTGCAGCCAATCAGAAGCCATACTTTGGTTTTTGAACGTTTTGGAAGTCAAACGGACTTCTGGAACGGATTCCATTCGACTTCCAAGGTACGACTGTAATGGCTTTTCAGAGCTGTAATGAAGGATTGCTGGTCCACTCAGTTCCTTGGATGGCTTATTTGAGACAGTTTGCTTTATATGCATGAAGGCAGAGGTATTGCTTGCTTTTGCCTCTGAGAACTTGTCTCTTATTGCAGGAACTGAAAGTTAACATCCAGCAAGTATTTGTGTGCACAGGAGCTCTGATAGGTATATGAAGATGCCATTCACACAAGAGTTTCCCCATTCATTTCCAACAGGAGTAGCTCTGCATGTGCATCCCATTGCAAGCATGGCACTGCTCCTGTGCATTTGTGAGAGCCCTGTGTGTTCACTGGAGATACTTCTGAATATTGTTAGAGTCATTTCAGACATTCGCGAATAGGGTAGAGTGTGAGTCTTATTCTTGGGATATGTGCTTGCCACCATGTATAGGAAGTACGACATGAACTAGGTGCAAACTTGCAGGAATGGATAAATAATTCACTCAGTTTCTGCAATCTTTTCGCTTCCAAACTATGATGGAAGAAAAGCAGAAATTGGACAAATTGCACATAGATATTGGGTCACAGGTAATTTCCATCATTGCATCAATTCTACCTGGGACTCCACCCAACTGCATGTTAGGTATTTCTCCTTATGCCAACTTTTGAGTGAAGCCTAATGGCAAAGGGTGGTAAGGAGGAATACAGCTGGGATGGGCAACTAGGCTAAAGATCCCTTGCCTGCACATCCACTGATACTACTGATCCCAAGTGAATCTAGGTTTCCATAGCTGTGTCCCTATGGAATATAGTTTTGCTTTCCCATTGACCTTCAGCACTTGATTTCTTGATTTGTTTATAAAGGGTTTTTCAGATATACTAGCATATTTTGCTGTTGTCAAGCTGCATCCAAGAAAAGGCATTTCTAAATTATAATACAAATCACTCCCACCACTTCCAAAGTTAAAATAATCCTTGGAAATCCCTCACTTGGGCAAATGGGATCTGTGCAGCTGTGGGGGCTTGGCTTTTGGCTGCTGCTTTTTGTTGTGCAGTCTGCCATTTCCTCCAGCCTCTCCTCCATAGACTGCAGCCAAGCACACTATTAAATAAAACTGGAAATTGAGCTTATTGTTAGGCTCTATAATTTGAACTAATAGAAAGTGTGAAAGTGCAGGAGGTGTCAAAACAAGAAAAGTTGGAATTTGATGATTCAGTGACCCTGTGTCTGAGGATGATGCTTACGATATTTGGACTAAAATGAAATGGAAAAACAACCATTTGGGATAGAATTTGATAATGGCTTCATGATGTGATACTTTAATCAGCTTGCTGGTGTTATTCAGAATGTGGGCAGCAAAGTCTATCCATAGGAAGATAATGTTTTATTGCACAGTATTGTGATGGAACTGAGAGATTGTCTGTGCATTGCAGGGGAGGTACTTTCTGGGCTGGGTTGCCCAGGGTTGGAAAACAGGTTTTATTTCCACCAATACAGTATCCCATAGTGCAGCTCTTAATGTTTTCTTACAGATGTTGATAGGGGCCATTCACTTACACAGGCGAAAATAAAGCAATATCCTCAGGAAACTACTTGGTGGAGGCTAAACCTGCCCCCAGTGACACCAGTTTATTGGGGAAAGAAAGCACGTCTTGCCAACTGCAGCAAATTTAATTGGCTGTATAGTATAACGGGTATAACTAAGTTCTGAGCCTGTGGCTGTCTCCATAGGCCTTGCTCAGGTCTTTATTTTGTGGTTGTGTTAAGGGTTTGAGATTTAAAAACGGGTGTCAAACACAAATGGACCAGGAGTTCAGATTTCCCAGGGGCTCACATTTTCATTGAAAAGCCATCAGTTTTGATGGAGACAGCAGCAGAAACAGAGATTAATTTTTAAAATTACCCCGGACAGCCAATTTCATTATGCCATCCTTTCACAACATATGTCAGCAGATTTCTTCACCGGCATGAACACTACCCCCAGTTGCTAGTTCTCTTGTCCCAGGCCTAAGTGCTCCCTTGAAGCTTGAAACCCACTGGTTTTTAAAGCTTTTTCCTGTGTGCCGCTGCTTGCCAGCCATAACTTTTTCACATGCAAAGACAGCTTTCCTCAGCCACTAACCTAACTGCCAGCTTGCATTGTGGTTGCCATGTTAGGTTTTGTCTCTTTGCCACATTCTACTATAGAACTATAAAAGTACAGAAGCTTTGTCAGGGTTCAAGTGCCCATAAAAAAGCTGCTTAATGAAGGCTACAGCTACAGTGGTAGAAAGGGCTGCTGCTGGTATGCTGAGCCAATAGCAAGCAAGCTCAAACTTCAGAGAAGTTTGGCCTAAAAGTTCTAAGTGAGGAAGTTCTTGCTCCAGACTTTGGCAGTATCACCTGTGTCTATTCTACAGAAATATTTAAGTTTGTAAAGACTTCCGGATGAGCATTGCTGCTAATCTGTACTATAGCGTATTGCTGCCAGCTGAAGATTTATTCGTCACCATAACTAAGGACAGACATTTCAGTCAAATAGTCTTGGCGCAGTCACACATGCAGATGCTCAGGCAAAGTGAATCAAAGCAGAACCTGACAATAAACGCACCCAAAAGTCTGTTCCCTAGAATTGCTTTTTGGCATTTCATCTGCTCCCACTGTCTTTCAAGTGGACCAAGTTTTATAGGGTCTGCTGGGTGCAGCTTGCCACCTAGACAACATCTTGAATATTGGTGGTGGGACTGAACAAATGTGCATTTAAAGGACTCGCCATAAGTTCCTTCAGTAACTGGAATCTGCAGTTTGTACTTCCTCAGCAGTGGAGTCGACATATTATTGGTCTCATTTTGATTTGGCTTGTGATGCATCTCCATCTGGCTTCAAAGCTGTAATCTGCAGTATAAGGTTCAGTGGAGGGGAAATACTTGTTACGAAAGCAATTAGGAAAAGCAGAACACAGTGGTACTTGAATCAACTCAAAGAAAACACAAGCTTGATCAAGTCTGAGCTGCTCAAAGAGCAATACCTAGGCAGTCCGTTTCAACTATGCACATAGAAAATGGTTTTTCACAAAAAAAGGTTGATAGGAAGGCTTTCCCAAAGCTGCATTAATTGTAAAGAGGTAAGAGGTGCAACCAAAATAAGAGGAAAGGACAGAAAATTGGAGGAAGATCTTGAAAGTAGGTGGTTTAAAGGTAGAATTCCTGCTTGTGGCATGCTCTGATAAAAAACCAGTTTAGAGTCAGACAGCAGGACTATGGTTTGGACCCAAAGAACCATTGGAGTTTTGTCTGTGCAATGGGGCTTTCCTCCCTTTTCTTGTTGCAGCCACTTATGCCCGGTGACTCCTGTGGGTCAGGGAAGTCAAACAACACCTCCACTTGTGGGGGAAAAGAGTGCTTTCCATGCAGACAAGGGGTCCTTTTAATCAAAACCTATGGCTGTATTCAAATGTGACCTTCCCAATTACCAATAAATATGGTTTGTTGGAGTAGAAATAAGGATGGGCTGAAGCACACCTTCTTCCTATCATGCCCAGTTGCAGATATCTCCTTATTTGTAAGAATATAATAAAAGCCCTATTTGGTCCAGCATCCTGTTCCTCACAGTGGTCAATCAAATTCCTGTGGGAAGCATATCACAGATTTGAGCCTGGTCTACAACGAGTACTTAAACTACATTTTCGTGCGTCGGACATCATAGGAAAGCCCATTTAACAAACAAGGAAGTCTCCTTTGCTGGGGAAGGCTGTCTAATTTTTTTGGGAACAGGCACATTACTTCTGCATCTGGGTTATGCATGTATGCTATTTCCAGTTTCTTTAAAATTATTACCTGCCTCCAGCCCAAGTTGTTATAATAAAGTGTTTCATTCCATGTCTGTTAGTCTCTTCAAGCATAATTAATGCCTAGGCCTTGAAGGAATTCCCTAAAAATAACATTCTGAAATATCTGCCTTGGGGCAGAGAAAGAGAGGCTTATCCAGCGATTTAAGCTGCATACAAGTATTACTTTCCTTTAAAAGCATGGCCATTGTCAACAGAAGCCTGCAAATCTGCTATACACGTGTGTGGGATTACACTTCGCCTTAGAGACTGCAGCCTTAGACCTTGCTGACCATGGTAATGTGGAGCAATATGCAATCTGCTCTTCAAAACAGGCTGCTTGTTCATAATGTATGGGGCTGCCAAAATGTATAACTACAGGTGATATATAGCTCTCCCAACCATTAGATAAAATGAATTAATGGTTTCTAATTAATCACCCTGCTTAGCAAAGACGAGATTCAGCAACTGGATCGTCAGTGTACCGTCTCTTCCTGTCTGCCAGCATCTATTTAATTTAGCTTTAATGTTGGAATCTTGAACTCAAGCAACTGAACGCATTAGTGCAGCAGCCTTTCACCGATTTGTAGCGCAGGCCCTGCTTAAATCCTCACTTGGCTTTACATGAGCAGATAATGTCTTGTATAAACAAATAAAAACCTCATGGAATCATTAGAAGAGAAACATCAGGATAGGGAGGGTGAATCTAAGTACAAATTTGAATTATAGAGCTGGTTCCATGCTGTTTTTATTGTAATTATTGGTATGTTTTAAACAGATTTCATATATGTTAATAATTTTAATTCTATCAATGTTTCATTGTGTTTTGATGATTGAATTTTCTGTTTTGTGCAGTTCTTGTTTTTAACTGTAAGCTGCCTTGAATACCATCAAGGGGGGGGCAGAGTATGTGTATACAAATAAATAAGGGGTCTTTTTTTCAGGCAGAACCTGACAAGCCTCCTGACTTAAAGGGCTGCCCTCCACCCAAAGAATTAGATTTCAGATCTGCATGGGAAATTTTGCCACATACATACATACATACCCCAAGCATAGCTTTTTGGCCATTTAGGGCTGGCAGGTCATACCACTGCTGTGACAACAGAAGCCACAACTGGCATAATTTTTCTGTCAGGCTGCAGCAGCAACCCAGTTCTGACACTTGGTTCTGCAACACTGAATCTATTTTGGCCCTTCTGGTTGAGAAACTGTTCAGGCTTTTCTGAATTCTAGCTGCCCACCCTCTTACATCTAACATATGTTAGATTAAGTCTCCAAGAAGCAGCCTTTCTCCATTCGGGTGGTTTCTTTGGCTCTGGGTCCATTCCCTTGGCACCATCTCACTATCTTCACAAAGGTTCTCTGGACTGCAAGAGCCACCTCAACTCTCTGCTTGGTGGCACATCAAACCGGAAGTGACCCTATTCTTTTTCTGCCTTGCTAGGATGACTGCCAACTCCAGCAGGGTTGAGTTCACCTTCCAGAAAGGCAGTAAGCTGCTTGCCAGATAGTTTTTTAAGGCAACCTCAGATTCCTTTGTATAGCTGTGGTTGACATGTAATTCAATGTGATGTCCTTGTGTGTGATGAGCAGGTCATCTCGCCGCAGCGAATTCCTGCTACTGTGGCTCCTTCACTACTGATGTCCCCAATGGTGTTCAGTCAGTCTGCCCCAGCACCGCCAAAGCCAAGTGAAGGTGGATGGCTGCCCATCGTGAACCAAGAAGCTGTTTCTAGTTCCACCAGCAGCCTGTCTGTGCAGAACCCAGAAGCAGCTGTTACAAACAGCAGCTCACTGACAAAGCTACAACTACAGGAAACGTTACTACATCTGATCCAGGTAAAGCGTCCATTACATTTCTCATCTGTCCTTGTCCTCTCTTAAAAACTATTTGCATCTATCACCCTAGGAGATGAGAGCGAGCGGAGAGTTGGAATGAATTGTCACCAGTAAGTATACAGCATTGCTGTGTAGATAATCCTCAACTGAGTGTTTTGTTGTGTTTTGTTACACAGGTTACTTCTCCATTTTGCTAAGTTGGCTGATGGTCCAGTTTGGTTCTTATGAAAGTAAGACTTACCATATTGTAAGTCTACAATTAGGCATCTGTGTGCCCTGGGGGAAAAACAGCCCCCGATTTGCAGCTGTCTTGTCAGTAGCTAGAGCCCAGACCATTGACAGCACCTCTAGTTTCTCACAAGGTCTGAAACATGTTAGATGCAACAAATCAGCTCCCTATGCACTGCAGTCAATTGGGAGTTGCTGATCTGTGCCCAAATGTTGTTCATTCTGACAGCCAGCAGTGGAGATCCTGCTTAGAGCTACCGCTGACTGTAGAAGTAGTTTTATCCTGCCTTTGCTCCAAGTTGCTTAGAACAACATTTTAGCCTCAGCAAAAACCCAGGAGAATAATTAGGATGACAGTGGTTGGCATGCTCAAGACCGCTCAGTGGGCTTCATAGGATCTAAATTTGCATTTCCCAGTGCATTAATGAACACAATGGTTAAAAAAATGTGGAGTTTTAATTTCTCTGTGGTTTTAAAATTCATATTATTAACAAAGTATATGCCTTTCCCCCTTCAGAATGACGACAACTTCCTAAACGTCATCTATGACGCGTACCTAGACAGCGTGAGAAAAGCAGCACTGAAAAAACCCATGTGAAACTTCGTTTTTTTTAAAATTAAAATGTATCTCATATCCTGAACTTGACTTTTTAAAATAACTGTCAAACAAAACAAGGGGTTTTGGGCTTTCTGCATAGCTTTAAATGATGCTCGCTGGCAAGTCTGTGCTCTGCTGAGGAATGAGTGGGTGGGAACGGATAGTGCCTTCCAGAGGGTAGGGTGATGTCACAGTATGACAACAGACTTAAGATACCTTTATAGTGTTTTTCTTATGTAGGCTGGATACCAGCATGTATAAAGATTTATATTTTCTCTTCAATAATACATCTGTTTTTTGTGTTTTTTAAAAGAAGAATATTAGAGATTAGTTGCCTAGGTACTTTGCTGGAATCATTAGTTACCATAGGTGGAAGTTACTACTCTACATTGTTTACAAAGGATGGTACTTGCTGGCGGCCACCAGGTGGCAGGCTTGGACTATAGTAGTAAACTTTGAAGCTATTGTGAAAGCTGTTGCTAGAGAAAGCAGATAGCTTTTCAAAGAGCTAAAAATAACATTGTGGTCATCATTGCCAGTGATTTGGACATCCATCCCTCTGCTGTCTCTGTTCACACAATCTGTATGTTGGTTTTTTGTTTTGTTTTTAAACCTGTTTGATGGCAAAGAAGTGAATGCGTATGCCGTGGACATCCATACCACCTCCAGTTCTACTGACCCCCCCCCCCCAAAGAAAAACCACAACAGAGGCTGTCATTATTCTTTGGAAGGAATGTTACTTGCCCGCAGGAGACTGGTTTCTCATGTTACAATTTCCCCCTACATGCCAGAGTTGTGTGAAAAAGATAACGCAGGAAGGTCTGCAACCAAGGTCTGCAACCAAGAGTCAGCCGCTGCAAAAGGACTTGTCTATGCCAAGAATTTGATAGGATTCTGCATACCATTTCCTTTCTTGTTCCCTGCAACACACCCCAAGTTCTCTGCATGCAGACTACTATGTAGGAAAGAGGCGGTTTTCCTCTTTTTAAAAAACAAAAAACAAAACCTCATTTTGTAAGCAAATATTTTTCTATTTTGTGACCAGAACATTCATAGCAAGGAGTAGATGATTACATTAGAATTCTTTATAGAGTCTTTTCTTTCTAGCTGTTTTTCCCCTTTGATGTAGATATAGGCCTTCATTAGACTGTGATAACTTCTGTGTGCTTTTCTCCGGGATGACTGCATTACTTTTAAGCATTTTGTTAAAACTAGCAATGTGAATGAATGAATAGTTTCATTTCCACTGTGTTGTTCAATCAGAAGATGGACAGTAGTTTCAATTACCCATTTGTAAAGAAAATAAAATGTATTTACACAGATTATGTGTTGGATTCATCTTATCACAGAGGCTAAAAGATTCTGGAATTGAAAACCTTACGGTTTTATGGTTTTTAAGTTTGAATCTAACTTTCCTCAAAAATGCGTTAGATTTTAAGTACAGCACAATGCACAAGATGTTCCGTAATTTAGTGCAAGGCACTAGAATTGCATGAAAAGGTGAGGTGAAGTGTGGCCTTTTTAGTTTGGATCTGTCAAATAGGATTATGCACCTGCTTTTGTCATGTAAGACCATTGGCATCACAACAGGCTTCAGGCATAAGGGGCAAGAAAAGGAGAAAAAGCAGAATAGTTTGAGGCAGCAGGAGACCTTTGGATGGCTGAGGGTGGAGGAGCTGGCAGAGTGCAACCTCCTAGGCATTTTGGGGGGTTACAAAAGTGGAGAGGTAATGAAGCAAGACTCTGAAGGACATTGATACAGCATGAGATTTTTAATCTCAGGGTTATGGGTTCAAGCCGCACATTGGACCAAATATTTCTGCATTGCAGGGTGTTGGATTCTATGATTCTATGAAGGCAAGGACCTTGGCTGGGTCTTGGGTGATTTGGCCGGAGTAATTTTGAATATGATGGGGATACCTTACAAAGAGATGTAATGCCAGTAATTTGTCAGCAGAAGGAACTAAGGGGTGTTTTGATCCAGCCAGAAGCTGCTTCTGAGGTTCTGGGACCTGCTACAGCAAAGCCAGAAAGTCGAGTGACCTGCAGGCTCCCATAATATCCCACTCCTCTATATATAGCTTGCTGAATCTCTTCCATTCTTCAGCTAACTTCTCAAGCCAGTGGAGTCACACCATGCACTATAAAACCTTTCCTTCCAAGCTAACACCTCCACCTGAGCAACTTGCTGCACTGAGTTGCAAAGCAGATTGCCTTGCTTACAGCCAGTCTTCTGCCCATTTAACCCTTGTCTGTTTCTCTTGGAATTGGACCCCATCTGCAGTCTTGGGCCCAACACATCTCTACGCTTGCCAAGGAAGTTGGTTGTAAGGTTTTCAAAACTGGGAAGTCTGGTGGCATGAAATTAATCTAATTTCAGATGACGGGATTTTGCTGCTTGGGTTGACAGGCATGATCTGGGAAAGTTTATTTGCTTAATGTCTTGGTTCTCACATTTAGTATCCGTTGCATTTCCTGTGAGGCTGTGTATGCATTAAACTATGAGGATGGCACTGAAATGTCAGTGAAGTGTTAAAGCAGCATCTCTGATTTTAGTGCCATTTATGTCAGTATATTTACAATTCCAATATACATCATGAAAGCGTCCTGGTTATTTTCCAGACTACCTTATTTATAAACTTCATTTTAAAAAACAGGCTTCATGGCTTTAAGTGTTTGCTTTATGGTGTTTTGACTAGTGCAATTTACTCACTATTTTTCTGCTTCCAATCATACGGATTCTGGATTTTGCACAAGGACATCTGAATTCAAATATAAGCACCTCTTGCTTTCTTGATGGCTGTCAACTTCAATTTTTAAATCCTCACATAGATGTAAAGAAAATAAACAAGGTAAGAATTTTAAAGTCCACTTTAAATTGTATATGTGATAATTTATGAAATCTATCTCACTGAATGATTTCTTAGAGGAAGGGTTAAGTATAAGTATACCAAAGAAATAAGTTGATTGTATGGTGTGCATAGATAGACACCCTATGCTCCACTAGGGGTTGTCCCAACCTTCCTTAACAAGATCTTAGCAAATTCTGAATGATTCAGAAGTAGTGATCTTGCTGTGGCCAGATCATGCAAATACATTTCTGAATACACATTATCTATTGTTATTCAGGTTGACCTGGTTTGACAAGTTAATTATTTTCATTTGGCATCAATCTATTATTTCCTTAAGACCCTATTCTTTTTAGTCTACTGAGTTTGATTTTATTTATCATCCATCATGCCGTGTCCTGGTTTTAACATTTTGCTGTTCGAATCCTAAATATGTACTTTTTTGTTGTTGTGCCCAATGGCTGAAACAAACAAGTAAATCTGAATTTATTTATAGTGAAAGCCTGGTTATAGGGGGTTGCCTGTGTAAATTATGCAAGCAGGAGCTCTCTGCTGGATAAAGCTTGTCTGTTTTCAGCCATTATTGCATTCTCCTTGATTTATTCTTCATTCCCTTACTGAACACAGCCTTTGAGAATGAACAAGGAAGATCAGAGTTTTAAACACCTTTTGTAATTCTGCAGATCAGCGTTCTATCAAGATTATTATTTGTGCATAAAATGGATCAGCGTCGCGTGGCTCTGGCATCTTGGCTCCTCTGCAGATGTAAAGTAGCTTAGAAGTTGTCAGGCTATAATATCCATTTTGTACAATACACCAGGGAAGACAGGTAACACTTTTTTTTCTTGTGGATTTTCAGATTTAGCAAGCAGAGTGGTTTTCAGTCAGTGGCAGGAGAAAAAGGGGTTTCGTTATGAAACATCCGGATACTTCATGACATTGCCCAAGCAAGTTGAGCTTAAAGCTGTCACTCTATGCCGTAGTCCAATGCATACATGTGCACAGGACGACTAGGCCTAATTTGACAGGTGGGGGGCGCTGCACACCTGCCATTTGTCTGACATCACCATGATGTCAGGGGACCTATTTTTGCCTGCATGGTTTGTGAAATCAAACCACGTGTGCAAAGGCACAACACACAAGGCACCCACGATCTGATGATTGTCAGGTCTTGCAAAGCACTGTGAAGGCCCATACATAGCACACTTCAAGCCCTGTCAGTCAACTGCACAGCACATTGCAGGCTTCAACAATCAGAAGTGCAGAAGAAACCTCTGGCTCACATTCATGTTAACATCATCCTTGGGTGCTTCAGTGGGTTTCTAACCTTATGATTCCATGTTTTTCCAATGCATAGCAAAAACAAAAAAACAAACAAAAAAAGCTGCTCCAATCCTTTAAGGGCATTTCAATGGTGCTCAAAAGAAGAAGATGAGTAAATCTATGTGAACATTTTCCTTCAAAGCAGACATTGCCCCATGCAGAAAAAGATGGGTCGTGTATGAAAACTGGCAGCTGACTAAACTAATAAGGGATTTGATGGAAAATAGAAAGTGTGACTGGAGATTGAGAGGAAGGAATGCTGATGTGCCTTTTTCTGAGTATGTTCTTGATTCCGAGCCAGGAGCTGCACGCCAAATAGTTAAAAAATTGCACTGCCTAATAATTTTTGAGAAATAACATCCTTTTACATTTGTTATAATTCACTATAGTTGGTCAGTGGAAGTTGCTCTGTTTCATAGAGGAAACAGAACAATTCCTGACACCATATACTATTAGCGTTTCAGTGTTTGCATGCTTACATCTGAGGGGTATAGATAGGGTTTTTTTTTAAAAAAAACCAACCCAGAATAACCACCCACACCCACATATCTGACTAAAAATACAGCATCTGACACAGACCTTGGCTTGTGTTTGTCCCAGCCAGCAAGGAACTGCAAGAAGTCCAGCAGCTGCTACAGTTTTCCTCTGCCCTTTAGCGCCTTCTTGCTCAGCGCTTCAGACCTGATTCTGCTAAGTTCTTACAGCGATGATTCACTGTTCTCTCTCAGTTTAGAAAAATATCACAGGGCAGGCACAAAACTTTTTCTTTGGGGCCTGCAGGTTCCTTGCCCATGCTTCTCCATCTCTCCTCCGAATTAATAGCAGCTGCAAAATAGGATCACAGAGTCTCCCATACTAGGGCCCGACAGACTAAACTAGGTAAACTGAGGCAGCCTTCAGACAAACTAAAGGCCAGTGAGCAACAGATAGAGATTTTAGGAGACTTGGCAATACTGATCAGGTCACAAACCTGCAGCTCTCTAGTACAGTGAGCTCACTGGTATAACAGATATACTGAAATATATGCTGATCTAATGATTGTCTGAACAATACTGTTGAATGAGACAAATCTATTGCTGTGTGGCTGGAATAAATCTGATCTATATTGGGGATGAATTCTACAGCACCAAGCAGAAAAATACTCTGCAGAAGTTACTTCTTCGGGCAGGTGACTTAGTGGAGTCAAAGGGAAGTCAGTCAGATTGGCAGTTGCGTTCAGTGTGTTCTGCAATGAGTAGGGTGCTCTGCTCATTTCCTTTTGCCAGAGTATTTTGTATTGTCCTGCCAAATCAAGTTGCCAGCCAATTAAGCTTTCTCGGAGGGTTTCTAGATAGTCTATTTCAAAGTCAGTCCAGACTTATGAATGATCTGGTCAATTTGAAAGCTCTGATTAGAAGTCAGAGGAGTCTAGTGAGTAAAGCCCAAAGGGATTAATAAAGTGTTAATAGTTACCTGGACTGGCTCACTTAACTGGATCTCCACTGTCTCTGATACCTAGCTGAAGTTCTCTCTCTTTCCCTCATGTTGGGGGACGGGGGAGGAAAATTGTAAATATATTTTCATTGATGAAATATTCAACACTGATTGTGCTGAGAGTGAGCACTCCATAGCTCTGAGGAGCAAGGTCAAATCCTTTGCAAGGTCGCCAAATTACAGGAACACTGCTGTGATCCTTGTCCCCATAGTGCTGACATCAATAGACTCATAAGTGCAAGTGTTGGGCTCAAAAGTAAAAGCAGGACCTGACAATCTTTAAAACAGAAAACTTCTATCTTTACATCCATTATAAAATGCCACTATTCTCTGAGCTGGGACTCCAGACTAACTGTTTTGCATTGTATGTAGAAGAAGGAACATAGGGTAAAAGATTGCTTTTTAAAAAATCAAAACTTTATCATGAAGTTAAAATAGTTCAGTAAGAAATATGAAATAAAATTAAAAAAAATAAGATAAAAGAAGTGTAACACTCCCCCTGGGTTCACAGCTGTTAGCTCAAACTAAAGTACGTTCTCAAGAGACTACACAGTGATCCAGAACCTGATACAGGAAAAAACTAAACTAATGTTATTAATACAAAACAAAGGCATATTTCATTGGGACTTGCCATCCCCATAATTGGCCTATCATACAAGTAGCAAATGGTCACCAAA